ACCATAATGGTTGACTGATCTTTGACTGGATATAACTATAATGTTTGATTGGTGTTTAACTGGATATAAGTATAATGGTTGACTGATCTTTGACTGGATATAACTATAATGGTTGACTGATGTATAACTGGATATAACTATAATGGTTGACTGATGTTTAACTGGATATAACTATAATGGTTCACTGATGTTTAACCTGATATAAGTATAATGGTTGACTGATGTTTAACTGGATATAACCATAATGGTTGACTGATCTTTGACTGGATATAAGTATAATGATTGACTGATGTTTAACTGGATATAACTATAATGGTTGATTGGTGTTCAACTGGATACAAGTATAATGGTTGACTGATGTTTAACTGGATATAAGTATAATGGTTGACTGATTTTTAACTGGATATAAGTATAATGGTTGACTGATGTTTAACTAGATGAATTTATAATGGTTCACTGGTGTTTAACTGGATATAACTATAATGGTTGACTGGTGTTCAACTGGATGGATCTATAATGGTTGACTGATGTTTAACTAGATGAATTTATAATGGTTCACTGGTGTTTAACTGGATATAACTATAATGGTTGACTGGTGTTCAACTGGATGGATCTATAATGGTTGACTGGTGTACAGGATATTTGGGATTAATTTTAAAATGATCAATGTTGTAAGATGTTAGTGTACATTTGAAATTACAGATGAAAATTTGATGTCATTCTAACAGTTGTGATTTTTACTGAAACGTAGCTTGATTTGCATTAAAGGACAGAAAGAACTTATCGTAAACTTGAGTGTTTCTGTGTACGGACAGAAAGAACTTATCGTAAACTTGAGTGTTTCTATGTCACAAAATTGTTTTATTTAATTACCCACTTTTCTCAGTCATTTACTTTAAAATGATGGGTTTTTTATATAACGTACAAAAGAACAAGTTTATGAACCATAAAAACATATCAAGCCTTCCTACTGAATAACTTCCAACTGAAATAAAGACTTCTATAAAGTTCGAAATAACTTGTGAAAAAAGTCACGTGATTTTCTGAAGCATCAGTAGTACGGTGTGTTTAACGTACTCGTGAAATCTGATATGAAAATTTAAACTATTATGCTATTTAACAAAACGATCTTTCACGTTGTGTTATCAGTTTCATAATTTCGTCGACAAAGCCAATAATCTGATTTATATTCTATACTTGTTGTGGGTAATGAATGAGATGTCATTTATATTCACCGATTACTATGTTAGCGAATACCAAGACTTAGGGTTAAGAAAGTGATTACGTACCTTAAAGGTTTGTAAAACAATTACAGTTGTTTTGTTTCTTTTTTGTGTGTGTAAATTTTAATTACGCGCCATGAACTGAGGAAATTACGTTTTATTAGGGTATGATGGAAGATATCATTCATCAAAATGGGATAACTTAAGATATCTTATTAAAGATTTCCCCCACCAAATGTGGTTATTTTTTAAACATTATTCAAGACTTTATTTATATCTATTATGAAATTTGGTGTTATACAATGAGGATTATAACTGTAAGTTTTAATATATCGCATCTTTTCGAAAATTTGTAACTGTATTTTTAGGAAAGACTGGTGTTTACAGATGATAACACTGGGATTAGAAACCAGACGTTCCTTGTCAGTTTTAAATATACTTTGTTAGAGGCGTCGGAAACTTTTACAGGGATAAATGTAAAGTAAGTTCAAGTTGACAGTTGATTATTGTAAGTATATTTATTGCAGCAAGAAATTTGGGTGACAACTCTCCAAGAAAAGTTGGAATTACATAAATGAACTTTAGGAGAAGTGCGGAGTAAATTTGTGTCAATTGTAAAAATTAAAACGAATACTACACAATATCTGAGAACAATTTTTAAAAAAAATTATTTATCGCATGAAATCAGTTGAAACCCTCCTGGTCCTTACGTCCTCCTCAAATAAACCTTCAAAACATGTGACACGTGAAATTGTTGAAGTGGAGCGTGAAAACAACCGAATTGTTTCAGAATGACGTCATTTGTCTAAATTTTATTTTAAACATGGGTGATACTAGGGGTAAAGAACAATCGTAATGTCACGTGTCAAGAAATCCTGGCCGTGTTACAACGGTCGTTTTGTTAAGAGTGAATACATTCATATAATATGTGGAATAGATTTATTCTGAAAACTAAAAATTAGGCTTAATAGGTTTAAGTGCTTCGTGTTTTTGTATTTAATGTTTAATTTAATTATTTGACAGTAGATTACGTAGGCCTATACGTTTTTATATTAACTTATTCTTTATTATTAATAGGCTTAAGTCTTCCAGACCAGATCTTGTACCGAATATAATAAACAACGTGATTATGACCGACTTCTTGAGTTTATTTTTCTGTTTATCAGAGGGATACAATACTAGAAGGATACGTTTGAACTCCTCAACAAACAACACAGCCTGTGAAATTGACAGGAATAGTGTATTGTCGTTAATTCTGTGATTTTTACGCATAATTATGCTTCTCATGAAGACACTTTTATAATGGAAGTTTAACCTGAGAGCTTAATTTGATGACCAACTGATTAGTTCTTGTTTTGTTTGTAATTAAGCAAAAAGCTACACAATGGGCTATCTGTGCTCTGCCCACCACGAGTATCGAAACCCAATTCCTATCGTTGTAAGCCCGCAGACATGCCACTAGGGGGGCAAGTTCTTGTTAAGTAAATTTTTAGACCACTCTAATTCTCACGGTTAACATTGTCACCATCTTATTGAGAGCACTGTTCGGGTGATTTTTAAATCAATGATTGATAGGTGGCGGAAGGAGACTAAGGTCATACAACAATTTTGTTTGGTTTGAACTAATCGAGGACTTTCTGAGACAGCTGTCCCTAAGTTTGAAATGATAGCTAATCAATCCACTCACCGCCAACTAT